ATTATTTTTCTTTTGTTTCTGTTGTTATAGTTTGCTGTTTTAGAGAAGAAAAAATTATTTCCAACTCTTAATGGTTTAATAATATTTTTTATTAGAATTCATCTTTTCAGGCAAATGAAGAACCCCTTGCAAATCTAGAAGAATAGAAAATGATGAAGATTTCTTCATGATGAATCTTGATAGTTTCACTACTGGATCGATTTAACTTCATATTACAAATGGATATTGAAGACAAAAGAAGTATAACTTTTTTAGTTTTCACAATCTTTTGCTATATGAATTCATCTTGTTTATTTTTTTTTCTAATAGATATGTATATATTCTTCTTTTCTTGTTCTACAATTTGTAAGTCAATTAAAAAAAATATTGGTTTTTTTAATTAATTAATTTACTGAATTGAGTTTTGACATCAAATGTCCAAATCATTTTTAGCAATAATGGTTTATTGTAAAATTATTAAAATCAATTTTAATAACTAATATTATATTTACTTCGGTTTTTTATAAATGATATAAATTATTGAAATAAATTACTTTAATTGATGCCAATTAACATCATTGTAAAATCGATGCAAATATTTCTATCACTTCTTTATAACTGATACATATTAACATCAGTTATAGTAATTGACACAAGTATTTAACATTTTTACATCAGTTGTTACTAAAATGATGCAAATTATTTGCATCATCACTTTCAGAGTCATTTATGCAAGTGATGTACAATTGTTTTACATCATTTATAACTAATGAAAATATATAAAATAAATGATGCTAAACAAGTATTTTTTTGTAGTGAATGGCAGAGAGGCTCTGAGTATACCCATAACAACCGTGGCTCCAAAATCTTTGTTTAGCATTGGTAGTAGAGTGCTTAACAAGTATAGGAGTTGTCATCGACCTACTAATGTCCAAGCCTTGGTTTGTACAAGAAACTTGTTAAAAGGGTTTCCAGAAATGGGTTAGTGTTGCTTATAATATGTTCATATAATAAATTATTTCAGAATCTTCATGAAATTATTTTTTTCATAGGTGATGAGTCTGCTGTGAAAACAAAAGAGGATAAAGAAGAAGAGGATAAAGAGAAGGAAAAAGAAGAAGAAGATAGTGGGAGTCTTAAGACTTGACTTAGGTACGTTAATCTTTGATTGACTCAGAACTTGTTCTTAGCGCCAGTCTAGTGTATGTTTGGATAAGATGTTGAAATGTTCATACCAGAGAACTCACTACCTCACACTGATGTTATCAGTGTTTACTTATTGAAGTAGCATCTGATCTTGATTTGTAGATGTGATCATCACCTTTAAGCTCTGATAATAAGTGAATGTTATGTTGTGAATCACTATGATTGGTTGGTACATAGGTTAAACTCAAAACTGTTGAAAATGTAAAGCAACTTGATATTATGAAAGAAGTCTTTTCCAGATTGTGTTTTTATATTGCCATTGTTTGAGTCTAATGTGATTTATAGAAATGACTTTTGAGCTTTTGATAGTAAATGATCATCATTATACACAATGTTTTTCCTTTTCTCACTAGTGCTCTTGAGTCTTGGTTATGTTATTGTTCGTTGTAGTTGCATTTGCTATAAGAATCTAAGGTTAAATCTTCTTAATTTCTTTGTTGTTGCAGGCTGCAAATGTAAGTAGATAAAGTCACAAAATTGGAATAAAATGAATTCATAAACAAAGTTATCAAAAACTCAATCTTTTGAGATTATCTTACATCAGATTTATTTTCAGATTTTTCAATGTTGTTTAAAATTTTAAAACCTTATTACTCAATTTAATGTTGGATACGTCTGTCTCATTTAATATTGTTTGATATTAAAATTAGACTTAAACTGAGTTTGAACATATTTGGGCTATTACTAAAATTTGCTTATAAATGGGCGGGCTTGGGTTATCCAATTGGGTGATGGGTGAAATTGGGTTTGCGTGTTATTGGGTGTGGGCTAAATATGGGTGTGGGTGTTTTGAGTCTAGAAAAACAAATGCCAAATTGGGTACACCCATTTGGGTGCGGTCCAACCCAACTGACATGCCTAACTATATCATTATGGACTGCATTGACATTCTCATCTACATCAGTCATTCCTTTATTCACAATCAATTTAATGATATGTGCTCTACATCTCAAATGCATGAATTCTCCATCTAAAACTAATGCATCTTGAGACAAAGAACTGAATTGACTTTGTAGTCTTCTCATTCAGATAAATTAGTATTTCCATCGTCAACAGTTACACATAACACTTTCTCAATTCCCATTCAGCTAAGACATCTACAAGAACTCTAGAGATTGTCTGGCCTTTGTGATCAGTGACATATTTGAGCCTATGATCATCTTCTTTAGTTTCCAAAAAGCATCAATATAATGGCCAGTCACCACGATGTAATTGGCACCTATAAATAACAACTACACATTAGAATCACTGCGAAGTTTCATAACAAGAAAATACTCATTTAATTTTACAAAAAAAAAATATTCTAGGTTACTTGAGCTACCCAAATATCAGTCATGACAGAGACCCTTTGCTTGTTTGATGTAAACCATTTCTTCATAGCAGCCTTCCTCTGCATATACATATTTACAATGTCTCTTATTGATATCCTCCATAGAACATGTATGTGTAACTTCATCTACAAAGATAACATAGTTTAGCAAAGTTATATACCAATAAAATAAACTATATTTAAGTTAGGTAAGAGAAGATAAAAATTTCATACCTTATTAAAAAAGTGTTTCCAAGCCATACCCTTTATCCAATATAATGATAGCTCTCCTAAAATCATCATCTCATTGGTTGATTTTTAAAAAGTGTCTTCACTAACCTTTGCACTCATCAAATTGACTTCTTCATCGATCGCAGGCTGAGTACAACTTTGGCCATCCAAAAACGCAAAGTATTGTTTGCATATGGTAAGATGCTTCACAAAGTTTAAAGTTCCTAACCTTGTTGAACAACAAAACTTCTTGCAATAATGACAAAGACATTTATCACAATTCTCTTTTATTCTAATTGTGTAATATTTCAATATTTTAAAATTTACAGAAAGAATCCTAGGAATTTTCTTTCCATTGTATGTTTCTCCACTTATTCCAGAGGATTCTTTACGTGTAAATACGTAAGAATTGTTATGCAAAAACATTAAGCTGTTCGAATGACGAAGCAAACACAAATTATATAATAATATACTGGATATTTTGATATTATTGATGGAAACATATTTCATTCGATAGTTAAATATTCTTGATTCAGATTAACATTATTTTAGGTCGTTGCATTTTTATAATTAATTTAGTTTAATTTTGAGCTGAATGTAAATTTATATTCTAAACCCAAAAATCATCTTCTTTTACAATTTCTTACTGAATGTTTATAAATTCAAAACATATAATATTGTTTTCCCAACTAAATCCTAGACCTAGATTCATTTAGACATCTATAATGACTATTAAGAGTAATTTTAGTATTAGTGATCCGTGTTTAGCTTTACAACATGATATAGAAAAGAAGTTTCTGATATTCTGTTCGAATCTATTATACTATAAAACAATAATCACTTAACAAGTTCTCTGAGGGACATATGTCATCTTTTATACTATATCTTTAATATTGTACAATAGAAGTCAGGCAACAATTCTCTGAGTGACATATGTTAACCAGGACGTGGTACCTTTAGTCTATTGCCATACGATAATGATTCAGTATGCATCATTAGTTATCTTGATACCAGCATGCGATGTGGTTTGTCTTGGTTCACAGTTTCCTTCCTCTTACTGATGATCACATGATTTTCTGGCCTTAGTCGATGGTTTTTGCTACCAAGAGTGTCATCTGGGCACATAGTCACGTCATTATAGAAAATATTTGCATTTATAGATATATCCTTCAATGGGGATTGTCTACATACCTTTCAATGAAAGATCAAGCTACATGTAGTTCATATTATTGTTTGCACATAACCTAGGTGAGCACATAACCTTATTGACACGTGGCCTTATAGTTTATTGGATTCATATAGTCTAGAAAGCATATGACCGGATTAGATGGTAAACTTGTTGATATACTTGATGAGCATGGAGTCGTCCTGCATATGAGCATTGGTCGTGGCATGCGCCAGAATATAGACTTGTGGGCATGCTATGATGAGTATAAATCTTGGTTTGGTTGATAGTAATCACATAAATCAGCCTATTAAGGACATGTCCATGAAGACGGTTTTTTGGATCCATCTTCTTGCATTTGCGGCTGTTTAATTGATAGACTCTTGAATTAGATGAATTGGACTATTTTCTTTAGGGTTAAGAACATTATATTTATAGTAGAAATTTTGCATATATTTCAGATTATAAAATATATATATATATATATATATATATATATATATATATATATATATATGTGTGTGTGTGTGCGTCTTTAAATGATAAAATATCTTAGGAAACGGTATCCGACCATGCGAAAATTCACATAGAACTGTCCTTCTAATTCTTTTGAGTTTAAACCAAGCCAACTTCGAACTGTCTTATAAGAATTCCCCAGCAACATATATCCCTTCAAGAGGGTCATTACAAATTTTTTTATCCACAATGGTTTTGTAAAAATACCACTACTGTCATAATTATTACTCAAATTCAACAAAATTTATCTGCAAAGGTTTTATGAAGATATCCATTATTCAATGTCAACATCTTTTTAACACTAGTTAGTTATGCTATTTATAATTATTAGAACTAATACATTACGATTCTACAACTGATAATTCTAATTTTTCTATAAGAATGTATGTTAGATTGTACGATTCTGAACCTTCTTATAAGATCTAACGATTCTGAACCGTACTATAAGATTCACACATGACATTCTTATAAGATCTAAGGATTCTGAACCGTACTATAAGATTCACACATGACAGTATTTTTTTGCACTATGCAGAATAACATCAACATTTTTAAGACAAAAAAAGAGTTTAGCTTTGTGAAGATAAGAAGACTATATGTTCTTTATTGAGATGAAAGCAAATTCAACAAATCTGCTTATCAGCAAAGGTTTTATGAAATATTTAGTACTTAACGTCAACATTTTAAGACAGAAAAAGAGAGTTATAATAACATAGTAGACCTTATTCCGCAAGTGAAATCTCAGTCTTAGACTCTTGGGTAGCTTTTGTGATGGACAAGAAGATTATCTGTTCTTTATTGAGATAATGGCAGAATGCCCCACTGATGCAAAAAACCTTTTCCGGTGGTTACTTCTAGTACCAAGAGTGCGAGCACTGCCAACATTGCTGCTCTTCCATTCCATGTTTCTGCACTTCTGGTCCATCCCCATTCCCACATCGTCACTGGAGCTGGCAATTCCCTCCTCTGTGAATCATAGGTCGCCAATAGTTCTTCAACACTCCCGAGCGGAACCAACGACTGCATAAGAAAACAACAATAAACCACACCATACACTTCAATGGGTCGGCCATACATATTATTAAAGCATAAAGAGTTCCGTCAGAGTGTCCCCAAGTCTATGTAGACTATCCTTTGTTTCAGGTAGAAATATTTTCATTCTGCCTTGACGTATACATTAAAAGCATTACTAGTTCGCATTTCCAAAACTTCCACATTTTTATTTAGATAAAACTTTATTTAATAATGGTAAATGAAAACCCAAAGCGCACACAAAAGTTCCCCATGGAGTTGCAATTTATGTTTTCGATTACGAAAATGTTAATCGAACACTAAATCTTTGTTGTTTCATCCCAAAAAAAATACGGTAGTTTAATATAACGTCGTGCTGGTAAAATAAAAGTCAACCCCATTTTAAGCCTACCGATGCTCGAGTAATGCTATATATATGGCTGAGAAAAAATTCCCGCTAAAGAGTTTGTGGACCCATGAACCAAATGAAGTGAAGAAAACAGCTTCTTTTGTTGAGCTCGAGTACATAAAAGACGAAGAGTGTTACCTGTCGAGCTTCAAGGTTTGAGACTGCCATAGCTCCAACATATGGAAGACTTTCCACAACAGCATCTGCCAAGTCAGATATAAACATAGGCTCTGTTCCTAGCGCAGGCACTCGGCCCCAATTCTTGATACCAGAATTCAAAGCCAACTCTTTATACTCAACGTCTATCTCCTCCAGCGTTTCAATGTGCTCGCTCACAAAGCTGTTAAAGTACGAACAAACTGAAGTTTCAATTAACCAAAAGAAAAGAAAAATAAGTGACATAATTTGCAAAAGAAATATCCCTTTACCTTATGGGTACAGCCAGAAGATTTTCAACACCTTTTTTACCAAGTTCAGTGATCGCTTCCTCGGTGTATGGTTTCAGCCATTCCACAGGTCCGACTCTGCTCTGTTGGAATGTTATTCAAAAATAATAAGACAACAGATCGAGTGAAATTTGACGAACAACTATAGAATCTATACTTTTAAACCCATCCAATAATTCCAAAGTGTAAATCTAGAACTCAAATCATTGACAGCACTAATGAGAAAGTCTTACAAGAGAGCTTACCAAAAATATTGTATTATTGCCAGATCAAATAAATAGTTAACACTGATAAAACAAAAAAAAAAAATGAAAAAGACCTGATAAGCGAGAGTGTAAGCGTTGGTTATATTTCTCTTGTCTAGTTCTTCCATTATCAGATCGACGCATTCTTCCATCTCTGCCTTGTAGGGATCACCAGCTTCTTCAACATATGCAAGAGGCACGCCATGTGCACTGAAAAATATTACAACCTGTAACATATATTTTGGTTTGAAGGACGTCTTAGGATAGTTGAATATATTGGCAGAACCCAGAAAGCTACAAAAGATTTGAAATTCTTTCTTTCGCTAGGGAAAAAATAACACATAGAATAGTGGGAATAGACACAGATCTAAGAAAAGAGATAAACACGAGAAGATTCCAGGATTGCGAAAATAACAAAGTGAATTGAAAAAATAATTATAATGACTAGAAGTGGAAAGATTTTCGACCTGACTAGGGGAATCAAATTTCTCCAACTCGTTTTGGATTAAGTTTGCCATAGCCTTTATATACCCCTCCCGCTGATACCATGATGGTATAACAGTATGCTGCATGTTCACAAGATACTCGTCCTCTCTATGTATATAGTGAGTAAAGCAAAGAAAAGGTAAACAATCAAGAAAGATAAGGTCATGTCATGCTAAACCATGTAAGATGTATAGGTCTCACCGGAATATTCTCTCCAAGAGTCTTAGGCTTGAACCACTAGTCGATATCGAAAATTGGGGATAGAGTGGTAGGACAACAAGTTTTGTGATTCCATCTCTTTTTATCTGCAAGAAGAGATAGGAAGAAAATAATGAGTGGGAATCACAAGGCGCAAACTCAGGTTGTCAACCAACATAACTGAAGTCATTATTGTTATAGGCGATAAGTTAGGTTCAGAGAGATTGTTTAAGGAATACACATATTACACTCATGGAAGAATAGCAAGCACTTTGAATCAAAGCCTTTGATTAGTTCCTTTTGCGTTTACATATTAAAATATTGTGTTCATATTCAGAAGAGAAGATATCATTGTTTTCAACATAGTACACATAATGTTTGATAAAAACGAAAAATAGAAACGTAAAGATAACAAACTGTGTATGAAAGGATCAAGTCCTAAATCAAGATACCTGTTCAATGGCTTCCTCAGTGAATGGATGCCAATAACGCATGCCAACATATACCTTTGCTGGGACGTTTTTTTCCGAAAGACACTTACTTAATTCGTCAGCCTGATGAAGGTAAAACATGAGAAGGTACAGAAAACAATGATAGACAGGAGAAGTAAAGATGTAAAAGACAAAGAACAAAGAACAAAGATAGAAGAAATAATATATGCGCAGGATCACTACAGATTTTTCATAATCTCGATAACCTTCTACTCTTAAGTTTAGGTCTCTCACACAAGGCAAGAGAGTTACAAATGTAATGGAAACAAGGCAAAATAGCCATTTTAGTTGGACAGAAACATCAGTTGACTGTAGTCAATAGAGACAACTTCCAGAAACAGAGGAAAAAAAAGTCTTATGAAAATCTGAAGGAATTATAACATTTAGCTGAAAGAAGAGCTCCGCATATGAGAAGAATCAAGGACAAACTACCTGTGCATCAGTTATGTGGCGAAGAGGGGAACCACCGCCAATTGATGCGTATCCTTCCTTGCTTTTGGGTGCCCTTGCTACGGATATGAACTGTGCCAGTGGCTTCTGAAGAAACTGGAACAGCGGCGGCAATCTTATAATGTCCTGCCGATTAAACATGGATAAGGTATTGTCATTACTCAAAACAATATTAGATGATAATTGAGTAGAAGTTATACCGGGTCTGCAAAGAGGTTAAACAAGAAGGGTTGCACATCATCTAAAGTCTCGGGGCCTCCGAGGTTCAATAGCAGCACTCCTATTTTCTCATCCTCGCTGATTACCGCTGAGGATGAAATGTTTGAGGTCACCAGCGCTCTCAAAGGTAATGACTGTTTCCCAAGCAGCCGGAGTGGCTGTTTCTCACCCCATCCCCGATGATGATACCCGTCCGAAGCAGCAAATACCTCAATAGGTAATCTCGTTTGAGGCAACAGTCTGCATCATTCACAACCAAACATCATGTCACAAGGTAGCCTATTCAACCGCCACATGAATACTAATCAGTTGCAGGGAGAAGAAGAAGAACTGAATCCTAGTTCAAGGGAGGAACTTACGGACGAGGACGAAACGTTGAGTAGGAACAGGAAGACGACGCAGATGCACTCATGGCTGGACAATTCATTGCAACTGAACTTGAACAAAGGAGAGAGGATTTGAAGTACAAAGCAAATTAATCGATTCTCATGGATAGTTTCGTCTCCTCCGCTGTGGGAGAAAGGAAGACAAGACAGCGTTATATTTTTCCAGATTTTTTTCCTACACGGTTCTGATAAAATGAATGGCTTGAGGACGGAGGACCACACGCGTCGACACAAGGCTGATAAGTTTTTTTCGACCAGATTGTTTAAACGAATAATGTTAGAAATATCCTATCTATGATTTAAACTCTTTTTAGATACAACTAGGTGTTTTCCCAGTACTTACTCGCATCTTATGAATATTTATTAGTTGATATTTCATTAATTTAAAAATCAGCATAGTAATTTATTATTTATGTTTTCAAAAAATAAAAATCAAACATCAAATTATCAATGACAAAACTCAAACATCATAAATATTTAAAAGAATATATTTCTATAACTATTTTCTCGATTTATATTTAATTATAATATTTATATCTTAATTTTAAATTTTACATTAGAAAAATATATTTTCAAGATAACAATATAATGCATAAGTTTTTTATTTTCTGAAAATATAATATGATAATTTTTAGCTATATAATAATTATATAATATTATAGAAATTATGATATATAATTAAATTACCTAAAATCATTGAGAACTTAATAAATCAGCAAATTTACTTCTTAAATATTTTTTCTTGAGTGATGATTTATATTTAATTAATAATAGATAATTTTTCTATTTTACTTTTAAATTATATAATATAAAAAATGTATTTTGAGGATAACAACATAATACTTAAAAATTACCATATTCTCTAAAAGTATAATATTATTAGTGTAAATTTATTTCAATTATAGAATAACTATAACTTTTTATATATTAATTTTAAATTTCTAGAAGAAAAATATATTTTTTGGACACCAACTTAATACATAATGAGTATTTTATTTTCTAAGAATCTGATACTATTAATATAAATTTGTTTTAAATATATAATAAATTATATATAAAATTATATAAATTGATAAATTATCTAAATTACCTAAAATCATGGTAAATATGACAAATCTGCAAACATCAAATTCCCTTCTTAAATAATGTTAGGGAAAATTGCATAACTACCATTTTTGTGATACCACAATTCAACTTTACCACAACTCAAGGGACATTTTCATAAATACCTAATTCATCAATAGGTAATTGACTTTAATAACCCTAGGGGAGCTTGACTTGGCCGCAAACGACTCCTCGTCTCTCTATACTCCGATCAAACTCCCTTCTCTCCCGTCCCACCTCCTCCTCCGTTGATCGAGACGCAATCTGAAACATATCCTTCTCCGGATGAATCTGGCTCAGGTTCCGATCGGGTCAGGAAGCGTGACCCGAGGCTGCTTTGTTCCAATTTCGTTGAGGGTTTGCTTCTGTGCTCGTGTCCGGAGTTCGATCAGAAGTTGGAGGAGGCTGAGTTGCCGAAGAAGAAGCGGATTCAGGTTCCTGGTTGTATAAGTGAGCTCAAAGGGTATCATAGAAGGCATAGGGTTTGTCTAAGGTGTGCTAACGCTAGCTTCGTTGTGCTTGATGGAGAGGATAAGTTACCTGCAAGGTACCAACAATCTTCTACATTATTGGTTGCATCTTGTTTATGATATGTGACAAGGAATTAGTAGAACTAGAATGAAGTAGAAGTGTTGTGTATTTTTTGTTATACAAGCATGAGGTGCACAGAAACTGTGAATGGGATTACAGATGGATTGATTACCCTTCAGAGTCAAGAGATCTAAAGCATCTTTATGATCAGTCTCTGTCCACATATAAAGGTCACTCAGTGTTGCGTACTCTTATCCGTTGCTACTTCTCTCCAGCACATAGGTTAGTCTTCTCAAACTCAAATCAATAATGTTCCAAACTTGACATAGAATTAACTCTCTTGACATTGTGTCTGAATCTTTCTTTATTACAGTACTGGCCAAAAGTACATCTACACAGGATCCGACGACAATTATGTCTACATATATGACTTGGTAATGTAGCTCTTTATGGTTTATGTTACAGTTTAATAGCTGAATCCTTCTTGATCAATCTTGGAATCTATGTATATATGTTTGTAGGAAAGTGGAGATAAAGTGGCAGCGCTAAAGCATAATAACTCACCTGTGAGAGACTGTAATTGGCATCCGCATTATCCAACGCTTATAAGCTCTTCGTGGGATGGGGATCTTGTGAAATGGGAGTTTCCTGGGAGCGGTGAGCCGCCAATCATGAGCAAAAAGAGGGTTCGAAGGAGACATTTCTAATACTGAGCAATGTACGTCTACACAAGATATATGGTCTCTGCAAGTTAATATATCAAATGAAGAAGATGATGAATGCTATAAACACAAGTGAGAATCATCAAATAAGGCTTTTAAGGTGAAAAAGGCTCTGTTATGGTGTATGTTGTTGTGATGAAAAAAAATAAACTAGTCTCTTCTCCAACCATTTTTAAAAAGCTATTTATGTGTGTGTGTTTTCTATAGATATGCAAATTTGCAATGTTGTACTCGTATATAGCACACTTTTTCCGGTCTAAAGATTCAAATCTCGTTTCGTAGAGATAAGCTTGGTATTGAAGGATAATATCCAACATCGAAACAACTTCAACTATATGATTGCCTTTGTTCAACATCACACAGCTCGCCCTGCAAAAATATCCAAACTCCATAGTTAGACAAAGAAATGTTTAGCAGGATCATTTTTACTCCTGGTGAAATGTTTTTGAGTTTCTGCCATTTGCAACATATGTGATTTCAGCTCGAGTTGAAAGACCATTGACAAGCAATTCAAATATGTAACCTGATTTGTAGCTCCCATAAGTTTTGTTTTCAAATCATCACAAAATGTTAAAAATGTTTATAATGGTTTATAAGAATTTAAAAGGGTTTACAAAATCACTTACATGTGCTTATAATTATTTTATATATAATTTATAAGGGTTTAAATAAGTTTATTAAAAGTTTATATTAGATTTGTTAGGGTTTATAAAAGGTTTTGAAGAGTTTATATAGGGTTTATAAAAAAAAGTTTATAAAACCATATAAATATTTATATAATTATTTATAAAGGTTTATAAAACCATTTATAAATTTTATAAGAGCTTATAAAACCTTCTGTCAACCATCTATAAAGTTTATAAAACACATAAATATCTATATAACTATTTATAAAGGTTTATAAAACTATTTAAAACGGTGTATAAACTATTTGCAAGAACTTCTAAGCTATTTATAAGAGTATATACATTTATTTATAAATGTTTATAAATAATTTACAAGGTTTATAAATCTATTTATAAGAGTTTATAAATCACCAAATTAGCCAACTATCCACCATTTCTTTGCTTATTTAAGAACATCATTCTTTTACAGTTCATTTTATCTACTCTATTAGAATAGAGTCCTAAATTTTATCTACTTAAAGTTCTTATATGATCAAGATCCGGTGAAAGACCTCGTGGAGGTATATGGAGCTGATGATGACATTGAAATTGATCTGTGGGCTACCTCTTTCCCTATCTTCGCTTTTACCTTCTTTCTTACGTAATATGTTTAGTGGATCAGAATCTTGGTCATGTTACCTGACTGCTTAAACAATCTATAAGTAGATTCAATAGAGTAGGCTAATGTGTTCTCACAAAAGCAAATCCAAGGGGGTTTCTTTAATCACCCTAAAAGCAAATAATATATTTGTGTTCAGTGCTTCCAGTATTGTTTTTCTGCATGCTAGTCTTTCAGCATACATGATTTTATTACTCTTATTATAGTTTATAAGAAAATTATAGATCTTTATAAAGATTTATGAGAACATGAGCTTAGGTTTCTTATACGATTTTATAAGGATTTATACAAATTATAAATGTTTATAAATCATTTATAAAGATTTATAAAGGTTTACAAACCATTTAAAAATGTTTTATAAATCATTTATTAGAGTTACTTAGTCTTTTTAAAAGGTTATAAACAATTTTAGAACTCTATAAACCATTTTTAGAAATTAATAAACTATGTCTTATAAATTGTTTATAAGGGCTAACTAGATCGTTTATAAATTATTTATAAGACTTTGTATATCATTCTCTATATTTCTATCTTATAATTCATTTATTGAGTCTATAACCATTTAGAAAGGCTTATAAAACATTTTATGATGGTTTGTAAAATAATTTGTAAGGGTTTAAAAGGGTATGTATAAAAACAATTTATAAAGTTTATACACATTATAAAGGATTATAAAACAATTTATAAGGGTATGTAAAATTATTTGTAAGAGTCTATAAACCATTTATAAAGGTTTATAAAACAAATTATAAAATCTATAAACCATTTATAAATGTTTATAAGAAAGTTATGAAAGTTTATAAATAATTTTTAAGGGGTATGTATACTATTAATAAGGGTTTATATTGGTGTAGAAACAAATTATAATATTATTTATAAGAATATATAACCATTTATAAGCAGTCAACAGATGGCACTGAAGAGGTTGTGAAAGAAAGACTTCGTATATCATTCTCTCTATTTCTATCTTATAATTCATTTAGTGAGTCTATAACCATTTCGAAAGGTTTATAAAATAATTAATAATGGTTTGTAAAATAATTTGTATGAGTATAAGGGTATGTAAATAAATTATAAGGGTTTATAAAAACAATTTATAAAGTTTATACACATTATAAGGTTAATAAGAACCTATAAGAGTTTATAAATCATTTATAATGGTTTATAAGTTATAAAGGTTTATAAGGGTTTTTAAAATGTTTATAAGGGTTTATAAGAATTTACAAAGGGTTTACAAACCATTTATATGTGTTTATAAAGATTTTATATAGAATCTATAAGGTTTTATTAATTAATTATAAGGTTTTATAACTTTTCCGGTGAAGGGACTTCCGTGGCCTAGTTCCATCCGTGGTTTTATAAATTTTTCTGATCATTTTCTCATTAAAAACAATAATAAAAGGAACAAAATAACTTTTCTTTATTTTTTTGGATATGTAACAATAATAAAATAGTCAGTCAAATTTCTCCCAATCTTGAGTTACATTAGCAGAAGGAGAAGCTGGAGGAGGAGGGTTCAAGCTTCCAACACCGTTTCCGAATGTTTCCCACTCAATGCTCACAGCTGCTGCTTTGGTCTGATCCACAAGCGGGTTTGAACATCTTCCTTTCAGCCTGTCCACTGCCTCCTGCAACTTTAGCATCCTATGTACCTGCAACACAGTAAACCCACTAATCAAATCTATATCCCTTCTCTCTTTACAACTTAAGATATAAAGAAGAAACATCTCAAGTGATTCAGCGGAGTAACAGCATAAACATCTCAAATCTTAAGGAATCTCCATATGTATCATAACCAAAGTCTCTACATTTACAATACTATCAATGGAATCCAATTGTGCATCTACTTAAGCCTATATTTAGACCATTGCAACTCATTCCACAGCCTCATAAATCATAAGTACTGAGATACAATATAGTTCATGATGCAGACAGGTGAAGAATGTAGTAGATGAAAACTAACCTCAGCCTTTCGCTTTACTCTAGCTTCTCCTTATGCCTCAATACCATCCAATTTTAGAAACTGTCTCATGAGAAGTTCTGCAGTCATGTCAAACTCCTCCACTGCAACTTTAGTCCCTCCATTGACAGAAACTTCTAAAGCAACAACCGCATTATCACCAAAAAAAAAACTCTATAAAATGGAAGGCACAGTTAGAAGCAGAGTGAAGTGGTGTCTCATTACCTTCGAGGACCCAGTTTGTTGTAGATTCTGTGTAGCGCCACTCTCAGAGCTGTCTAGTAAAGGAAAACTGTGCAAAAACCCACCAGCAGGAAACCTAGCTATGTTCGTTCCAGAAGCGTATCGACTCTGCTCACCGTCAATACTGAAATCCCCATTCAGAATCTTGTCTCCAAATGCAATTCCAAAAGATGCAAGAAGGATTATTAAGTGCAGGGATATTTGCACCTCCAGTGATTGGAGTCCACCAACTGTGCGTGTTCTCATCAAAGAATCTCATTTTCACCATGGTATCGACATTATACCACTCATTGAACACAAAACAATAATATAAACTTCCTCATCTTAAACTCTCTTTTCTGAGAATATAAAACAAGAAAAAAAAAAGTTCAAAGCTTTATCTTATACCTTCTCCATCAGAATCAACCCAACAATCCCAAATCACCAGATCTATAGGAGAATTTCTCTGAGACTGACGAACTGGAGTTACTTGAACTGGTGTCACCTGAACCTTATCGTCCATAAACTCTTCATCATCAGACAAAATCTCCTCCATTCCAACTTCAGGTGAGTCTGTCTCTGTCTCCGTTGGTTGGCTCCCAGTTTCAGGAGTCGCAGCCGTCTTAACCGAAGCTGCTGCTGCTGATCCTGCACCGCCTCGGAAATCAAACTCTTCAGTTTTCTCTGCCTGAAACCAAAAGGTTCTCTTATCTTATAGCAAACCAGACCAGAGAAAACACAAATCAGGTAAAAACATAACAACCTGAGAGAGTTCTTTAGGGAAATCAAGACGGGCTTCGTCAGGGTTCTCCTCTTTAGTCCCAATCCACCATCACTCAGAGAACATAACTGTATACATATCACCAAATGCTCAACAAGACTCAAAAAGATACAACAAACACAGAGAGAGAACAGTGAACAAAGACTAACCATGTTATCAAAATAATCATCACTTAAACACCAATCCTTTCCAATTTATATGAGTTTATATAACCAGTCTATAAGGATTATAAATAATTTATAAATGTTTATAAATCACTTATGACGAATCCGAATCGATGCTGAAAGGCTCTGGTAAGGACGTGTGCTCACTCCAACACAAGCATATGAACTCTTCGAACTGTGTGAAATAAGAGCATCCATCTGCAAACACATCAACACATGGAAGGTTTATTCAAAACAATCTTGTCACCTCCCTCCTCCCCAAGACTTGGTTATATCATGATAAAGGGAGTTAAGTACTTCGATCTCTTTACCTTTGATGCCCTAAGCGAATACTAATAACCTCTAAGTTGCCTGTAATAGGGGAAGCATGCAGGTGACTGTGTAGCCATTTTCGGGTCTTCATGAGCTGCAATCTAACGGTAGCTCCGCCCACGACGGCGTCACCTTGCTTGGCTGTTGTCTCAGGCACAAGTTTAACAATCTACCCAAAAAAAAGAGTTAGCTCCATTACTCCATCCATCATTACTCATTAAACCATAACTTCAGATATCAAATTTCAAGTTAATGTGTTGTTCTAACTTCTATCCAAAGACAAAAAAACTAAAATGATCTTATGTATAGTAGTAAAGGAGCAAAGGAAGTACCCAGTAGCTGTTGGAATCAACGACGCCTGGAAAACCAGTGACTGATTGCTGACCACTGCCGGATCCGTTCGGCACATCGTGAGAATGCAGACGAAACTTAGTCTTCTCGTGCATCAGTTTAATCGCACTTCCATATGTTATCTATCACACACCATCACAACCACCAAAGACATTAAAAATCCCAATTCCGAATCTAAATCAAAAGAGCACCTAATCGATACAATGTATAACACACCTTAACGCCTTCGGCGGCGGAAGCAGACATGTAGCCGGAATCCGAATCGACGCTGAGGAAGAGGAAGAGAGCGAGAGAGAAGAATCCTCGACAGCCATCACAAAGAGGAGAGCGATGAACCAGTTCTGCTGGTAAAAGGGAAACTCAGGGGTTGATTTCCTCGCTGAAGGAGGCGAAACAGAGGGAGGAGAAGATGGTGGTGGCTTTCTTATCGAGAGATCAGAATCGTCGAATTGAATTTCACCTTTTAATTAATTAGGGATACAATGGTACTTTACCTATTAAAATCTAAGTGGTAAAGTTGGTTAAGGTATAGATGAAATGTGGTATGAGGAAAGTGGTATTAGTCACAATTTCCCATAATGTTATAGATTTTCTACATGTTAATTTTAAATATTATAATCGAAAATATGTTTTTCAAGATAACAGCATAATACATAAGAATTAACTTATTTTCTAAATATCATATTATTAATATAAATTAGTTTTAATTATATAATCAATAATAAACAAAATTATAGAAATTCTGATAAATGATCAAAATTACCTAGGATCATGGAGATAAATCAACAAATTCTCTTTTCAAATAATTGTTGTGATGATTTATATTTAATTATGATTTATATTTTATTATTAATAATATAATTTTTATATCTTAATTTTAAGTTTTATAATAGGAAAATATATTTTCAAACATAACAACATAATCCATAATAATTAACTTATTTTAGAAATATATAAAATTATTAATATAAATTTGTTTTAATAATATTTAAATATTAAACTATTAATATAAATTTGTTTTAATAATATTTAAATATTAAATTATTAATATAAATTCGTTTTAGATAAATATAATAGTGTTTATATCTTAATTTAAAATTTAAGTTTTATATATAAAAATATATTTCAAGATAACAACATAATTCACAAGAATTATCTTATTTTCTAAAAATATGATATATTCATACAAATTCGTTTTATTTATAAATAAAATATATAAAAATAATAAAAATATGATAAATAAACAAAATTACCTAAATTTATGGACACCATGACAACTCATAAAATTTACTTCTTAAATAATAGTATAGATTATATATAATTTTTCTATCTTAATTTTAATTTTAATTTTTATATGTAAAATATATAACAACTTATTTCACAAGAATTATCTTATTTTCTAAAATATGATATATTCATATAATTTCGTTTTATTTATAAATAAGTTATATATAAATACTAAAAATATGTTAAATAAAAAAAATTATCTAAATTTATGGAGAACATGACAACTAAGCAAATTTACTTCTTAAATAATAGTATAGATTTCCTTTTTCTTCTTCAAACCTACGCTTAAGGGTCTGACTGGTTACACCGCAGCGATTGTGGTTGCGATTGCAGTTGTAGGCGTTTGCAGATGCGAGAGATTACAGTTTTAAGCGTTAGTAAGAAATTTAGACGACTTGTTCAACGGTTAAATTTTTTTGTGTTGCGGGATATTTATAACTAGTTTATTATCAAATATATCAATGGTTAAGTAATAAATTAATAATATTTATATTTTATATAATTATCAAAATATTAAAATCATATTTTCCTAATAAATATAAAAATATTACTAATAAAAATGTACTATTAAATTTTTAAAAAATTAAAGAAAATATTTTTTGGAAATTTAATAATATAAATATTTTGGTATTACAATTATTTTAATTTAAAATTTTAATTGAAAATTTTATTTCTATATTTATATAGTTTTTTGGAAAAAAAATTGTATCCTCCCGCAATCACTCGCAACCGCAAACGCTAGCAGGAACCAACTTTTGAATTGTAGAGATTTATAGCGATATGAAACGATTTATAGCGTTTTTTGTGATTGTTGCAAAACGTCAATAACTGCTATAACTGCAAATGTTGCATTGCGAGTGATAGCGGGAGAATCAGTCAAACCCTAAATTATACTAAGGTCTTTGTCCGGGCTACGCCCAGATAAACTTCTTCTTATAATTTTTAATTAATTTTAGTTTTTTATTTTTTATAAAAGTATGTCTATATATTATTTCAAAATTGACTACCAAAAATATAAATAATAATACGAAAATTAATTTATTATGTTGTGCAACGAATTTGAAATGAATAAACTCAAAGGTTGATTGGTAATGATGTTAAATGTTTTAGATATCCACTTTTTCTAAAAAAATTCTTTTAAAAGAAAACAATCATGTTTTAGCTTTTAAATTAAAGATACAGTATAAAGTTTTTAAAATATATATTTTTTAGCTTTAAAAATCAAATTTTTTTTAATGAAATTTAATATTTATTGATCATGCTTAAAAATAATGTTATTTATAGAAAGAAGCTTTAAAAAAAAAACTAATTTATATGCAAATAACACAAGACTGTGGTGGTGGTAGTAGATCATTGGTCAAAGCGTAATTTCAAACCATCGCCTAAGAATTCCTCCGAGCTTATGGTCAGCTGTATACTTGAGAGAGAAGATCCTATTCCTCATAGCCTTGTCGATGAGCTTGCGCATCTGGTCAATTGAGTTTCTGGGCTGTTGATGATGCCTAGCATTTCTCTCTCGCCATATGTGATATATAAGAGTCTGAAATAGGAGTCGAGCGATGCAGGAATCAACTCCATTGGTACCCATTCTCTGTAGCCTCTGCATTGTCCACTGCAAGTCCGGGTTAATGCTTGAGCCTACAAGCTTACGAGCGGGAGCTTCCCATATTGTATATGCATAGGGGCAGGCAAAAAAAAAATGATCCCTTGTTTCATCCCTCTCTCCACATAATTCACATCCTTGTATCATCCCCCATTGTCTCATTCGCTCCCCAGTGGAGAGCCTATTAAGTATAGCAAGCCATGCGATAAAAGAATAGCATGGAACTCCCTGGGGGAACCAAACTACTCTATACCACTCCACTTTGTTGTGTTTTGATCTCAGTTGATCCCAAGTCCTGGAGGCTGAAAATGTCTCACGATAATCATCTGCTCCGTGTCTCCAAAGCATTACATCTCTTCCATTCTTCAGCTGAGGTACATTTACTGCCAAAATGCTATTATATAACTCATGAAAACGCCTACTTCGCCGACCCCGTATGTTCCATCCGTCCAAAGTAACCACATCACTCACCTTAGCATGCCTTTGTACCCCAAGATAGATGGTACCAGCAGCACCGGTGATGTCTATCAAACGACCCTTTCCCAACCAGTCATCGAACCAGAAGTGACAGCACCGTCCATCTCTTATGTCCATCCTGAAAAATTTGTAAGCTACATCCCTCAATTTCAAAAACTTCCTCCATATCCAATATCCTTTATAGGCATCCCTTACATCCCAGAAGGAGTTGTACTTTAGGAGATAATGCTTCACCCAACTTACCCAGAGAGAGGCCGGTTGTGTGAACAAGCGCCAAATGAGCTTCAATGCA